AAAAAAAAAAAAAAAAAAGGCCTATTGTAATGGATAACCACCCAATAAATAGTCATTTCTTATTATAGGGTCACTGAGAAGACAGAGGTGTAATTTACTGGGATAAACAACATAGGAAGAGCAGGTGAGAACGTGAAATGACAGCTTTCATTTGAGTATGTTGAGTTTATGGCCTCCATGAATATTAATATGGAGAGACCTGAAAGCAGTTGCCAATAGGATTCTGGAGCACAGGAAGAGATATGGGGTAAAAAACATTAGTTTAGACAACCATGAAGCCACTGATTAAAACATCATAGGCCAAGCCACAAAACGAGCATACTCTAAACATTTGTTAAATGAGTAGATAAATGAATGAAAACAGTTTAACGTAGAAGAGATGAGCACTGTAATTAGAACTTTCAAAGATGTCTTACCAGGTTCTTTACGCTTTTTGAAACTACATCTGTCATAGCAAGAAAATTCAAATGATTGTTTTAAAAAAAATGCTTGGTAAAAGAATGTTGGTGAGAAAAGACATATTCACATATACCACCCCACAGATTACTTGATAATTACAAAACGGAAAAGATAATTGATAAATCTAGCGATACTGCCTTAACCAAGTGATCCAACTGAAGATAACCATGATGAAGTGTTCTGACATCAGGTACCTCCAGATACAATACACTGAGAAGGACACAACAACTTTGTGTAGTTATTGCCAAAATTGTTTTACCTGAGGAACTGATCAGACAAATCCGTATTCTGCAAAATAACTGACCTAGATTCTTGAAAAATGTTAACATCACAAAAGATTAAAAAGGGAAAAGCCTGGAAAACCATTCTAGATTAAAGGAGAAAACAGAGACATGATGACAGAATTTAATGTGTGATTCTTCACTGAAAAAAATAAACAACACAAAGCAAATTGAATATAGCCTATATTTCATAATAGCATTACCTTAATGTTAAATTTCCTGAATGTGATCATTGTACTGGGGTTATATAGAGAAGCATCCTTGTTTTTAGATAATACATAGGTATTCCAGGTTTAAATCTCAAGATGTCATCAAGTACTCTCAGATAGTTCAGCAAAAATATGTCTGTGTTAGTAGAGAAAGGTAAAAAGAATTAAACAACAGTGATGAAATGTTCGCAATTGGTGAATCTAGGTGAAGAATGTGTGTGTGTGTTCATGGTACTACCCTTACAAATTCTTTGTAAATTTGAAGATTTTCCAAAAATTTGGAAGTAAAAATTATAAGGCCAATTATTTATATTATTGATAACATGGTAGGCAATAAACAGGAGATGAGCAAACTGAAATTTAGAGAGGAAAAGTGAATTGCCGAAGGTGATTCTCCAACCCCTTTCCTCAGATCCAAGCTCCACTTGGGACAGAACCCAATAGAAAATGTTTCCTTAGTAACCCATCAGGGTGGCTTCTGAGGGCCTGGCATTGCAAGGTCCCAGCAGATCAGAAAACACAAGGTGGAAGTCCAGGTCTTTCTTCACTGCCCTCTCCCAAATTTTTCCGTCCTAGAGGTGCTATCAGCTTCCACTGTTGCTGGGTGCATTACCAACCTCTGCCCCAACCCTTCTTAATTTTTCTCAAAGTAGTTCTTTCCTTGAGTCTTTTATTTGAACCCCCTGTTTCCTGTTGAGACCCTCATCGATCCAGTCTTACATTTGGTAATGTGGCAAAAACTGGATTGAGATCTTCGTCTTCTCATTCCCATTCAGTATTTTTCCCCAGTTATCTTATGTACAATAATAACATGTTGTGTCATATAGGTTTGCATTTACTATACTCAAACATGTGTAATTATGTCTGTCTTAGTCTAAATTCTATTTCCACAGCACCTACATCCTCAACACACACAAAGCACCTAATCAGGTCCTCCTTTGTGCCTAGCAGGTAGTAGAGAATTTCTGCATTTCAGGTTAGATCTCAAGGTTTTTATTTCTCTTGCATCTCCTTTCCAGCTCTGGGGAAAGTGCTAATCACTAAGGACACAATCATAGGCCTGACAGGCACTAATGAGCCCAGCAGAGTGATTAAGAGCATGACTGGAGTCAGAAACACATCAGTTCAAGTCCTGGCTCTGCTGCTTCTAGAGATGTGATCTTGGATGACATTTTTTAACTTCTCTGATCCTCAGCTTCCTCGTCTGTAAAACATGGGTAATTTATAGGAATTATCTTATAACATTATTATGATGATTCAATGAGCCTATACCAATGAGTTATTGAACATTGTGCCTATGATATATACGATCTCAGAAAAAATAGCTTACGTATTAAACACAGAGAAAGCTATGTGTTTTCAACTTCAGCTATTATATAAACCCTCTTTCATTATCATTTCTGCTGAATGGATGGTATTTCAGATTAAAATCAGATACTAATTATTCTAATACTCACATATTGAATTTCTGCCCTTGTCAATATTTCCATGAGCATCTGGAACCAAATAGCTTATTATTTTTTTAGCTGATTGAGTCTGAAAACTCACAACTCTACAAATAATCTAATAATTATGTATTATAAGTTCTCGATTATTCAGTGGTTGAATATTCAAATGTCTAAGGGAACCACATGCTTGGATATTTTCATTTCAGGTTAGGAAGGGGAAAGTCAATTTGCTAATTATTTTTACCACTCCAATTCTTTTTTTACAAAAAGATGGGGTGTTGGTGGTAAAGGAAATGAAAATAATTAGCTAAAATTAGGACTTGGGGATTCACTGTGATTTCATTTATACTCACTATCTTCTTACATCCTAATAGCTTGAGTAAACCCCAGATTGGTTTTATAGTACTCTTAGTGGTTACTGGATTTGAAAGATCTCTCAAGATTTGCATAATTCACAGTGGTGCCTATGGTGAAGCATCTTCAGAATTCCAGATGAGGTAGAGTTTGAAGAGTAACTGGGTTTTTCACTTAATTGTAAAAGTCCTCAATTTGTAAAACTCATTCTGAACTTAATTCAACTTTTCAGATTTTTGAATCTTTTTTTTCCTAAACCTCCTCCTATTATCCTTTGCCCAAATCGTACACACAAAAAAATCAACTTTTTATTGAAAGATTTGCACCTGGCATCCACTGTGGTACCTACTGCAAAACATCCTTTGCTTGATGGTTTCAGATGTAATGGGAAGAATGAAAAGTCTAATATTTGCATAGCATGCAGTTTCAGGACATCCCATTACGTTGAGCCTATAATCATGCCTAATTAAGGTTATATACTCTGTGTGTTTGTGCTAATTAGCTCATCACACACAGCTCCTTTCAAAATCAACTTCAAAGGAAAAAGAAAATCATCTACCAAAGTGAGTGACTGCTGTAGAAGAATCTATCAATCATCTCACTTCGAAAGAGAATTAAAGAGAAAGGAAATGATATGCAAAGTGACTGGAAAGAAATTTTAGCTTCATTACCATTAAAGGGTGAAAATATGGGCTGGGCAAGAACCCACTTAAATAAATGTGGTAGATTAATTTTCAGTCCCTAGGAAACTATAATCCATTTCCTAAAATCAGGTAAAAATGGATGCTTCTGAGCTGTGGACTTTGTCAGTCCTTTTGAGGGGAAACAAAGTAAGTTCCTGCTGGCTTTTCAGTTTACATTGTGAACAGGGTGGTCAGGGAGGCAAAGTTGTATTTGCTGATTTGCATGGCAATGAAATGCAGAGCCTGCTTCAATTGAAAGGTAATCTTTGCCTGTCAGAGATTTAATTATATAGAGATGAAAACAAATATTTTTGAATGAATAAATAATAAGTTGGCTGTGTGTGGTAGCTCATGCCTGTAATCCCAGCACTTTGGGAGGCTGAGGCAGGCAGAATACTTGAGGTCAGGAGCCTGAGACCAGCCTGGCCAACATGGTGAAACCCCATCACCACTAAAAATACAAAAATTAGCTAGGCATGGTGGTGCATGCCTGTAGCCCGAGCTACTTGGGAGGCTGAGGAACGAGAATCGCTTGAACTCGGGAGGCAGAGGTTGCAGTGAGCTGCTATACTCCATCCAGCCTGGGCAACAGAGCAAGACTATATCTCAAAAAATAATAAGTTAACTGTGGTCACAAAACAATTTGTACAGGGAATCTGTGTTCTAACTGCCTATGTTCCTTACTTTATATGGTTATATCTTTTTGAATATCTTACCTCCACTTATGTATAATGTTCTGTCATTATATTTGTAATTTTAGACATTTCCTTCTCTGATTGTCTATCAATGTCCTCAGCTTCTCACTCCTAAAAGTAAAATTAAAGTTGGATTTTTTTTTTCTTAATCCCTTAGCCCTGTTGCAACACAGCCAGTCATAAATAAATTTAGGTAAGTGGTTTTACCAAAATCCAAAAATAGCTGTTTTCAAAATAGGTAACCCTCTTATTTTACAGATCAGAAAACTGATATTGAGAAGCTAATTGACTTGCCCAGGGTCACATATTTAGATATTATTCTTTCATCATCAAGAAGAAATAAACAGAAAGGGAAGGATAAATCGTCCCATATTTGACCTGTGATGCTCTCCCCACAATGTACCCCAGCTGAATGGTACATTCAGGAGTGTACCTGATTCCTATGGAGAACAAGCTGAGATTACCCAGTACCATTTCCATTTTACAAAAGAGGAAACTTCACAAATCACTAGTGTTTTCTTGCCTGAGCGCAAGGAGAGGGAAAGCTTGGACTGGGACTAC